TTAAATGATAAAAACCTATTTTTGTGATGTTCTTAATGTGAGGAATAAAAGTCAGCTCAGAGTCAAAGATTACGCCCAGGTTTCTCACTTGTGATGATGGATTAAAAGAGTGTGATTGGAGTTTTGATAAAAGTTTCTCTCTCTGGGCCTCAGGACCGATGACTAAAACCTCAGTTTTGTCCTGGTTGAGCTGAAGAAAGTTTTCTGCCATCCAGGATTTCAGGTCTAAAATGCAGTTAAAAAGAGCATCCATTGGCCTGGTGTCATCAGGAGACATGGAGATGTACAGCTGTGTGTCATCTGCATAACTGTGGAAGTTAATTCCATGTCTCCTGATGACACCGCCAAGAGGGATGCCGAATTTGCTGGTTGTAGTTTAGCATTGGCAGTGAATACAGTAAAGTAGTCCCTTCTGGTTCGGTTCACAAATGTCAACAAATTGAAACCGGTCTCGGTTAGTGGAAAAGGAGATGGCTAAGCTCATAGGCTAAATGCTAAACGCCTGCATTACATGCATTACATGCATTACATGTGTCATGGTATACTCAGTTTCAATCGTTTCAATCTGCAAAAGCAGTTAACCCCTCCCACCTGTTAAAAGGGCTCAAATCCAAAAGAAAATTCAGACCCAAGAACAAAATTAAATTAGTATGATAGTGAGGTAAGACGAGGCTACATATACAACACATTGGTACAGTTCAGTGTGGAGTGAGCCATTTCTCAACTCCCCGTCCCCAGTTGAGTTTTGTTAAAATGTTTGGGACGGTGTTGAAGTGTTATTTTAACACCTCACAGTGATACAATAGCATTGCTGGTGTTGTCTGTCGCTTATTTGCTTTGTCAAATCAGAGTATTCAGCTATTTTATACAATCAATGGTGTTGATGCAGATCCAAGCCACACCCTTACCCAGGTGGCTTAGATGTGCATCAAGAACTATATCCTGCACCGTTTTCTTTCACAGGAAAATGCAAGACGGTAGATTATAGTCTGACCCTGTTAAAAGTGTCTCAAAAAGAATCTGGAGGGCAGTGTAGGTCTTGAGGTCTTGTCAAACGTTGAAATGTGTCTGAGTTCTCCAGTTCTTCCTGGGTGAAAGTTTTTAGTTTAGAGTACCAGATTGAAATTGTGTATGTACCAGTAGTGAAAATGAAATGCCTATGTTTACTAGTATAGCTTTTGTTCACTTAACGTGTGCTGTGTGCTCCTCTTTCCTACTGTTCTATAACCTGTGATGCAACACCGACATTTCCCCACTGTGGGACAAAGAAAGGATCTCTTAATCTTTATCTTTACAGTAAGTAACAGCAAACAGGGGCAACTTGCTTTTAATGTGCGGACCACTTTACCGGGTCCCGGGTTTTCTATGAAGTAAGAATAAATGTCTCCGAGTCCCAGTCCCAGCAGATCGGTGCCAAGACAGAGGTGAGTCTGACCAATGTTTCTTCTCGTCATCCCAGGTCTCATATGGGCTTTGAATTTGTTCAGTTCGGTCTCAGATTCTTATGTTTTGCTTGTCTTTATATTTCCTCTGATCTTGTTGCGTTAAAGTGCTTATATACAGTGCTATTCGCCCACTGAGTCTTTTCAAAGTAGTCGTCGCATCCATGCTTCAGTATGTGCCCCTCTGTCTTCTTTCCACACAGCGAGGGGCGCATGCGCACGCTGGTGTAAACAAAGATCCTCCTATAAGGCAATAGACTCCAGCTCACTTATGTTCAAATCGTCTTCTTCTGCATTAAAGGGCCCATATCACGGTTTTTGACTTTTCTCTGCTTTAAACATGATTACAATGCTATTTGGCCTTCATACACAAGCCCACAGTAGTTTATTCATTGATTCTGTCAATCTTTTGTAAGAGAGCAATTTGTCTCCTTCCCCAGCGTGAGGCACAGAAACGCTCGGGTCCACTTCAGTGACGAAAACCACACTGATGACGCGCATGACGCGCATGACCCCGTTTGCTTTGTATTTAAAATAGTTGTTAAATACTTTTGTCAAAACGGGGTAAACAATACACAATTAGTATGCTGTTTGTCAAAAATAATAAAAATAAAAATAAATTAAAAGTCGGCGGGAGGTGATTGACGGATCAAAACAGCGAATCAGAGCGCACAGGCTCCGGCTCCAGAGTCCAGCGTCTGTGGTCTGGTCTCGCGGACACCACATAGAGCTGCTGTTTTTATGCTTTTGTCAGCAACTAAAAGTGTTAGGATCACGTCAACTTGAATGAAGTGTGTTATGGGTGATATATGTGACACACTATTTGGCCCTAAGAGGAAGAAAGCGGCTCGACTTTTTTCATCTGTTCATCTCATGGATCTATTAAAGTACCGGTTCATCTGCGACACTTCACTGAGACTGTTCCAGAACTACAGGGACAATGGAACTGGACTTACTCAAAAGCTGATCTGGAAACACGTTATTCCCACGGTAAAAGACGTAACTCGGACCCCCTCGATCTGTAAGTAGTGACGCTAACTCGCTGTATACTTCTGTAAACTAAATAACTAGGGTCTGATTGTGCATCGAGGACATAGGGCTCGATGTGACGGATTGTCATTGTTGGAAAAAGTGTATTCTTATGTATGAAATTACTAAGTACAATCAGAGCGCACAGGCTCCGGCTCCAGAGTCCAGCGTCTGTGGTCTGGTCTCGCGGACACCACATAGAGCTGCTGTTTTTATGCTTTTGTCAGCAACTAAAAGTGTTAGGATCACGTCAACTTGAATGAAGTGTGTTATGGGTGTAAATATGTGACACACTATTTGGCCCTAAGAGGAAGAAAGCGGCTCGACTTTTTTCATCTGTTCATCTCATGGATCTATTATGATACCGGTTCATCTGCGACACTTCACTCAGACTGTTCCAGAACTACAGGGACAATGGAACTGGACTTACTCAAAAGCTGATCTGGAAACACGTTATTCCCATTTTCTTACGACTGAGAGCTTACACAAATTTATTTTCTTATGTATGAAATTGCTAAGTACAGGTGATAAACGACAAAAGCGTGATGCTACGTCACCGTGCGGGCGGGGGGAGGCGGGCTCACAGACAGAAGAGCAGACTCTTCTCTGGATCAGCTCATTTGAGTCGAGGTGACGTCACCTCTATACAAGAGATGGCTCTAATCTCACAAGGTTTGATTGTTGTGTGGTGTATCATACACATTAATATCACACATGTGCATAGGATTGAGTGTGAAACATGAAGAAAAGTGTGATATAGGACCTTTAAAGCTAACACTATGGTGACGTCAGCACTTGATTAGTTCACTACTGAGTTAGGATTATGACCTACTGTATGAGCCCTCCAGGTATGCTCCTTTTGAGAGAATTTTCAAATGTTGTTGTGGATGGAGTAACCGTCCAAACAGGTCTTTTAGCAGCTATTATTGAAAGCCTAAAGCTCTTAATGTTGTTGTAATAATGTATCAACAGATGTTAAAATGTCTAAAACAAATCTGACCACTGCATGCTGTCTCCTGGTGAATTGAATGAGGACCCAAAAAGCAGGAATGCCAAAAAAGTCCAGGTGAAGACAACTCAAAATCCAAAGGCAAGAGGTCAAGAGGTGAAACACATCTGGGCAGGGCAGACTATCAAGACGGGGGAAAACAGGACAGGAAGTCAAACTAAAACCAAACCACAGAGAACAGATGTCAAAATAAAACCAGAGTACAAAATAACAAAATCCACACCATGAGACATGCTGTGTGTGTGTGTGTGTGTGTGTGTGTGTGTGTGTGTGTGTGTGTGTGTGTGTGTGTGTGTGTGTGTGTGTGTGTGTTGAGCGCACACAGAGATAGCAGTGATGCTGGGCACTGCCTGGTACAACTCTGCCTTTGCACGTGACTCCAGATGCACAAGCTCCACATGTACAAAGACATCCCACTGTTTATTCACACACACACGCCTGCACGCACCACAGACGCACACTTACACACACAAACACACAAACATGACTGCTGAATTTAAACCAAAATCTAATTTGTTGTTATGGGAATACATGTTTTTGGCAAAGTGGAAAGGTTTCTTAATTACACGGTTACAGTAGTCTTGAGTTGTACTCATTATTATCTGCACCACACCTGTGTTGTGTAGTAGATCAAACACACTCTGATTGACGTGACAAGGATTATGGTTTGAAGATAGGAGCTCGATCGACAAATACTGACATTAGATAAGCTGTCATTCACTATGACATATTAGCAGTTACATGCTTTCAAAGAAACATGCCTTTTTCACTTAAATGCCTTTCGGGCAAATACAAGAGTTAGAAGACACGCCAAGTGCCACAAATACATAATTAAAGTTACTCACTGGGAAGATATGGCCGGCATGAGCCAACAGTGTTGCTCAATGTTTTGGATCAAGTAACATTGGATCAAGAGTTACATTTACAACCAACAACAATCATGTGAATAATTGGCTGCAAGGATAGAGCCCAGTACAAAAGTACGGTGAGAAAGTATGCGCACATCTAAAAACATGTCCATCAACTTCCCCTCAGTTGAGTCCTTCCAGAGGTGGGTGGAGATTCTGGGTAATCTAGCATCTGGTCCAATATGACGGATCATTCAGGGTGTTTGTCTACTATATCTACGGTCAGGCAACAGGGAATGTGACGTAACTCCTCCAGTTGGGGTCCACCCTGGAACCTAAAATGCCAGTTCCAAGAAGAGACAATAGTTTCAGAGAGAACATGGCATCAAGCAATCAAGATGATTTTAGATCATATACAACACAAATCCATTATGTCAAAGAGTACACAAAAGCGGGCACAATAGTCTGTTGGAGGAAAAATACTTAATACTATCATTTTCTATTGTTTTGTTTATTTGGTTGGGACAGTGCATGTTAATGGACACACCTTTCCAGATTGCAGCCATGCGTTGATTGGCGTCCCTTGAGTCACACTCACACTTAATCACCCTGATGGGATATCTGGAACAACCGGAGGAAACTGAGCCAACTGGCCAACTGGGGTTGTTGGCCTCAGTTACAAAGTGTGATCTGTAAAAAAATAAGTTGAATTTTTTTCAACACAACGCCGCACACGCATGCACGCACTCACTCACTCAAGACACAGGGCCTAACACTCTCTGACCCTCCATGTGTCTATAGCCTCTGGATGTTCTGACACAGCACCTCTGGACTACAGGATGGTGGTCCCTCTGTTGAAGCACTTACAGCTCACCTACAGTAAGAAGCCTGTTAAGTATAAGAAATATTGGACCATTCAGAACACTGCCCTCACCTGCATGTTAGAACTGAGATCCTGAGCTCAAGTTTTCAAACAGGACAAAAACAGGAGAATGATAAACCATCTCGCTCTCACCTCTGACTGCAGGTCACCAAAGAGCAAAAGGCCTGGAGGCTACACACACACAAACACATGTGCACACAAGGTCGCACACACAAACACATGCACTCCCATGCAAACATGTCTACTTTGCATCTCACTGGGCAAACATATAGGCCTGACAACACTTGCCTTGTCTGTGAGGTATTTAAAATGCCCTTTAAGTTGTACATCACCGGTGGGAAGAGCAGTCAGTACATGTATATAAGCATGTTCAGCTGGAAATGTTTGTGTGGGAAGTGTTTAAGTGCACAGAAGACTTGTATATAAGACATGTAATTAAAAGTGTATGCTGGTTTTAACCCGGATATGTTCTGTATTTATATCAAATGTCATAGCAGTAGATGCTTATTCATAAATAAATAAAAAAACAGATTCTAGATGCTTCACGTCAACTATCTGATCTTTAAAATGACATATTGTGTATAATGGCCTAAAACAATCAACCATGTGTGTTGTGTGTTAGGAGGACAGTCTGCTTTGCAAAGATCTTACAACGATGTGAGTCAAAAAAAGGATTGATCAATCATTAATTTTGTACAATTTTCTTTAAGCATATTGGACAATAAGAGCATATTTCTTGCTAATAGCTCTAGCTGGATCACAGTTTTTAACAACATTTTTCTCAGCTGTGTTAACTTGAAGAATTCTTGTAACTTTCGAAGAAACTCAGGGAAAAATGTTCCCCACAAGTATTTGCAGTCCATCATTTTCAGATTAGAGTGTGGAGAGGGAGACGCTGGAGATTTGCCCACACTGAATAGAAAAAACTCAAGCCAAATACCTTGGAAAAGTGAAAAGTGTATTTCAGGACGGCCTCGGGAGGAAAAGCCAACCGATTGACAAAGTTCCTGGAAGACAAAGAAAACTAGACTTTGCATAATTCCCTATTTAGACAGATGTTTGGTCAGTGTACACAGTAGTACACTGTTTAATTGCATAGATTCCCACATGTTAATATTGGAGTTTCAAATGTGTTTTCCTCTATGTCATGTAAATATATTTCCACATATAAGTGCACTTACAGTGTATATATATGTATATGTATGATATATATAAAATAGTTAGTTCCCAAAGTTTTTGCCGTAATGTGGCCACACGGGTAACAGCTAGTCTAGCTAACTAACTAGAACTCTCTGGAACTACAAGAAAAGTGAACAAAGAATTCTGAACATTAGTGGTGAGTGACCTGTATATATAATTTTAACCCAAATCCATAATTAGATCCTCTGTAAATGTGTCCGAAAATGTGAATAGTTACTTCCGGGTTCACTTATGGTTACTTCCGGAACGCTTTTTGACACATTAAAACAGTATTTTTGTCATGAAAACGTGAACAGATAATTTTGAAAACCTCCGTGCACGTGTGTTAAGAATGTATAAAGTATTCTCCAATTAACATTTAAATGTGTTGATTGATTGATATTTGTGTTATTGAGCGTGGCTAGCTTTGATAGCTTCTCTCGCTCAGACAGAAGTAATAAGTGATTGGCGCTGAAGCGTACGAACTACTGTCCAAAGTAATCTTAAAGTGCGTTGCTAAAGGGCAGCGGTCATTATTGGTTTGAGAGGTCCATTATCAAGAAATAATAATCGGTAGAACGTTTTGAAATTATATTCAAATCTGTTGCTGTGAGGAACTGTATAATAAATTGAATTGATTAAATATTCAAATGTTTAAATCAATAATCTCTTCTCCACACGTCTTGGCCCATTGACCTGGCGCGTGAACGGAAAAGTAGGCGCGGCTTCAAGACCAATCAGAAAGGAAGGGGGAGGGAGCTTGGGCGTTTTTATTTTTTCAAATCATGTACCTCTCTCTCCTTTTTCTGACAAACTCCAGACAATCACTTTAATGTTAACATTTTTGCACCAACAATAGGTGGTCCTGACTTTTTTCCAAACAAAACAGTGGGAGAAATGGAAGGTGATATTATTAGTTTGGGATGCATTGATAGATCAAAATATCATTACTGGCCGATCAATTCCTAAAGTTAGAGCAGCTTTTAATATGCTTAGTGATGACAATAATTTGGTAGCTATCTGGCGTTTAACAAATCAGTCAGGAAGAGAATATACTTTCTTCTCTCGTTGTCATTAATCTAACTCAAGAATCGTTATGTTCTCAATAAAAAAATATAACCAAACAAGTATTGAACTGTAAAATTAATACTATTGCTCCGTCTGGCCACGTACATGCAGAATTGGGAATTTATATAAACAATGATTCAGAAAAGCGAAGTAGATGGAGATTAACTGCATCCCTGATGTTTAATGATGAATTTTGATCGTCTTTGGAGGAAGATATAAAATCCTGTTTAGAATTGTACATAGGTAGTATCTCTGAAGGGGTAATTGAATGGGAAGCTTCAAAAGCATTTATCAGGAGTAAAATTATCGCATACACATCTATGAAAAAGCGACACAACAACAGCAGTCATCAGTGGGAGTTGTGATGTAGGTCTTATGGTGGGCTCGAACCCATGACCTTCAGGCCTAAAGGCCAGTGCTCTACCAGCTGAGCAACTGTCGCCCCAAAAACACATGTTCAGAACATAAAATTAATATTCCAATATTTTCTTATGGCTCTGTGTGAGCCGGTTCTAATACTAACCAAATATTATCCTGGGGGCAAAGATAATTCATTCGTGGGCCGGCTTTGACACCCATGATATAAAGCAACAGGCCTCATTAACATTAGAGACGTCCTTTTATGAAGAGATTGGAAAAGGTTTTAGCAAATATTATACATTCAGACCAAGAAGGGTTTATAAAAAATAGATCCTCAACAGATATCATGAGACAAATACTGCTCAACTTTGATTGTAGTCAGTGTAGTATTTGCTGCTCTGCAAAACTTTGGATTCTCAACATCCTTCATCACGTGAATCAAGATGTTGTATTTAAGCCCAACATCATTTATCATAACCAATGGTATCATATCATCTTTCTTTACTTTAAGGAGATCTACGAGGCAAGGGAGCCCACTTTCTCTTTTGTTTAACATTTCACTGGAGTGGCTCTAGTCGCCATAAGAGGAAATTTTGGATATAAATGGAATAGAAGGAGGTGGTAAACGACATCCGCTGCTTGGTTCTATTGGAAAACCCAAATCACTCAATCATCTATTACAATAAAATGATCTTCTAGAGTTTAAGGATATAAAATAAATTATAGAGAGCAGGTTGGCTCTCTAGGAATTCAAGCTAAAAAGAATATGCGCGTGGCCGCGGGGCCATGAACTCCAATGGGATTTTGCATCCTCTGTAACAGCAGCGTTCTGACCCAGGGAAGCTGTGGCCGCTCTGGACAGCGGTTCCCACCTCCAGCAGCTGTGAGCGGCTTTGACAACAACCTTTGCATAACCTGTGCGTAACATGTCCATGCAATAACTACACTGCTGAAGCTCCTCAATGCCTCCTCCGTGTCTCTTCCTAAAGCGCAACTAAACTCGTTAAATTAAAGCTGGGGTACCTAATTTTTCCCTTCCACAACCAGTTTATGTTGGTTGTCCCCAAAATTAAAATCAAAAAGACATTCTGCATTTGTTTTGAAATGTCCCATTCTCGTCCCTGTAACAAACAATAGTTTTGGTCTGTGTCTGTGTCGTGGTGCGCACTCCCGCTGGTTAACTAATCAGGGTTTGGTCTGACTCTTTATAGAGGCGCCAGAGTAACTTGGCCCGGGACAGAGCAGGTGTTTGAGCAGCGTCACGTTACCAAACTACCTCGGTTCAATTGCACAAGGCGAGAGGCCACGCAATTGAACCATGCGATCGCCGTATGTGCTTTTGGTGAGTACTGCGTACTGATTCAAATGTTAGTTCAATCATCCTACAACAGTGTTATGAAGCATGCCTGCATCTAAACGTGCACGCCGCTGCTGTGCCGGCCCTCCCTCACTGGGCCCTTTGGCGTGGACATTGCCGTGCGTAAAGGCTCGTGTCACGGGCTGGGGCGGCTCGTGCACGGAGCGCTACAATGTTTAATTCAGTGCTCCTCCTGAACAATAGATAAATAGGTATTTGTTTCTAATCAACAATTAGGCTTCTGTCTCCGACCTCCCCTTCCAAGTGGGGTACTTGTCACTCTAAGCTGGCACTACAACCTACAGAAGTCTTCAGAGTGGAAGTATATTAATCTGTCAGGGTAGCTGCGGATCTGCAGGACGCATGACCACATCCAGCGTCCTCAATCCCCCCAAGCACCTAAGATAGACAATTCAACCACGAAGTGCTCCTCTGGATTCCTCTACCCACAAGGTAACAAATGTGGGCCATAGAGTGGCTTAAACACAACAGCTGCTGTAGTTGGGACCCTTTTAAAGCGGTTAATGGTTTCTTTTCTGTTTTGTTTTCACTGGCTGTTAATTGTTTGTTCTGGGATGCATGTAGTGTGAATGGGAGTGTATGTGGTGTGATTGTATATCATTTTAATTAGAATAATCAATTAAAAACTTGTTATCAATTTAAATATACTTATATTTTGTTATATTTGCCTCTGTCTCGCTCCATATCCATACGAACCTGTTTGATCTAGGAATGCGGGGATAAACTTCTTAATGGTTTTTTAGGCCAAAATCTAAGGTGGTATTGTTAGTATTATTTGTATGTATAGTTCATATTAAAATTATAGTAGTGAGATTCTAGCTAAGTACTTCCGAGGTTGCAACATCTGCAACAGAAAGACAGAATGTTAATAATGTTGTCTTTTATCGTTCCATCCAAACAACCATTAACAGAAAAATATGGTATAATTTTGCTGATAGTTCGAAATTTGATTAATTATGATTAATTCATTTTTAAGCTGTAATTATGTTGATTAAAAATTGTAATCGTTTGACAGCCATAATATATATTCACATACACAACTGAATATATGCACACATAACAAAACTATAAAGCTTCAATAACTTTAGAAAAGTGACCAGAGAAGTGTCTGAAGGATTTGGAGCATCACAAGTGTCCTGGATCAGACCATCAGCTGCTGTTATGAGGTCAACACCAGAATGCTTTAAGTCATCAGGGCATGGGATTCACAGCTGATTACAATTGGATAAACAAGGTCATATTTTACAGAATTGGACTCAATTCTGTAATTGACCATGTGACCATGTCACATGGTCATGTGACATGTAGCCCATAAAAATATGAACAGTACACTAGTGTTCACACTTTTGTCTTGAAATGAAAGTGTAAAATTGAACGACATGTTTAGGTTGTTCAATGCAATGGAAAAGATTGATGAATTGTTGTGGACAACAAAAGTGCAAAGTTCTCATCTGTGAAAGAGATACCATCACCACATTCTAGCACATCCAAACGTCAGGACAAGCATGTAACCGCGGCGACTGCGGCTACACTAATACATTGTTCACTTAGTCTAATGAAATTCCTGCCATAGGGGATTGCAGGCCTGTATTTAATCAGAGCTGACAACTGTCACTATACTGTCGGCTTTAAGCCTTTTGGTGAGCTGGGGTGGGCCCTCAGGGAAGAGTCCAATTCTGTAAAATATCTTGTTTTCTCTTTGGCCCTGGCTCTTTAAAGTCAACCACAGCACATTCCACGAGCTGCACTCTCTGACAAAAACCCATTCATTCTTCTAATCTAATAAACCTGCTATTTACAGTTTTAGCACTCAGTGCCCCTCACATTATGCACCGCACAGTACCTTCAGAAGATTGTGTCTCAAAAGGCTTTCAAGAGGATATTTCCTTACACCCTCCTTGTATTTTATCACTTTCCATAAAAGTTCTACCATGTATTGTTCTACCAACTATTAATAACGTTGTTTTATTAATAGTCATTGCACAAATTACACATGATTATAATGCTAGGTTTTTGAATATT